GGTGGCAGCTCCTCCCATCACAGGCCTGGAGGCCTAAGAGAAAAAAAAATGGCTTCCTGTGCAGGGCCAGGTGCCCGCTGCTGTGTGCGGCCTCAGAACTTGGTGCCCTGCATCCCAAGCTCCAGACGTGGCTAAAAAGGGCCAACGTATAGCTTGGGCTGTTGCTTCCAAGGGTGCAAGCCCCAAGCCTTGGCAGCTTCCACGTGGTGTTGGGCCTGCAGTGCACAGAATTCAAGAGTGGAGGTTTGGGAACTTCCACCTAGATTTCACAGGATGTATGGAAATACCTGGATGTCCATGCAGAAGTCTGTTGCAGGGGCAGAGCCCTCACGGAGAACCTCTGCTAGGGTGTTGCATTAGGGAAATGTGGGATTGGAGCCCCCACAAAGAGTACCCACTGGGGCACTGCCTAATGGAGCTGTGAGATGAGGGCTACCATCTTCCAGAACCCAGAATGGTAGCTCCACTGAGAGCTTGCACCCTGTGCCTGGAAAAGCCAAGGACACTCAGTGCCAGCCCATGAAGGAGCTGCAGAAGGCCATGAGAGCCCACCCCTTGCATCAGCATGCCCATGATGTGAGACATTAAGTCAAAGGAGATTATTTTGGAGGTTTAATATTTAATGACTGCCCCACTGGATTTTCGACTTGCATGGGACCTGTAGCCCCTTTGTTTTGGTCAATTTCTCCCATTTGGAATGGGAGCATTTATCCCATGCCTGTACCACCATTGTATTTACAAAGTAACTAACTTGCTTTTGATTGTACAGGCTCATAGGTGGAAGGGGCTTGCACTTGCCTTATCTCAGATAAGACTTTGGACTGTGGACTTTTGAGTTAATGTTGAAATGAGTTAAGGAATGGGGGGGCTGTTGGGAGGGAAGGCATGATTGGTTTTGAAATGTGAAAAGGCATGAGATTTGAGAGGGGCCGGGGCAGAATGATATGGCTTGCTGTGTATCCCCAACCAAATCTCATCTTGAATTGTAGTACCCGTTATCTCCGAGAGACCAGGTGGAGGTAACTAACTACATCATAGAGTAGTTCTCCCATTCTGTTCTCATGATAGTGAATGAGTTCACAATGAGATTTGCTGGCTTTTTTTTTTTTTTGAGACGGATTCTTGCTCTGTCAGTAAGCGGGATCTCAGCTTACTGTAATCTCTGCCTCCTGGGTTCAAGCAATTCTCTTGCCTCAGCCTCCGGAGTAGCTGGGACTACAGACATGCACCACCATGCCCAGCTTTTTGTATTTTTTTGTAGAGATGGGGCTTTGCCATGTTGGGCAGGCTGTTCTCGAACATCTGACCATAAATGATCCGCCCACCTCGGCCTCCCAAAGTGCTGGGATTACAGATGTGAGCCACTGTGCTCAGCTGATCTGATGGTTTTATAAGGCAGTTTTCCCTGCTCTTGCTCTCTCTGTCTCTCTCTCTCTCTGCTTGTGAAGGTGCCTGCTTCCCCTTCCACCATGATTGTAAGTTTCCTGAGGCCTCCCCAGTCATGTGGAATTGTGAGTCAATTAAGCCTCCTTTGTTTATAAATTACCCATTCTCGGGGAGTATCTTTATAGCAGTGTGAAAATGGACTAATGCAGACTCCTTTGGCATTCAAGACAACATTGTTACTGAGACTGGCTGATGTCTCTCCTCATTTTCAACTAGTCTCTGAATGGGAATACGTTCGAGAAATGAACCATTAGACAATTTCATTACTGTGTGAACCTCACAGAGCATACTTACGCAAACTTAGATGATACATCCTATTGCTCCTAGGCTACAAACCTATACAGCATGTTGTTGTACTGAAGACTTTGTGCAGTTTTAATAGAATGGTCAGTATTTGTATATTTAACTGTAGAAAAGATACAGTAAAAATATGGTATAGCCCAGGCACAGTGGCTCATGCCTGTAATCCTAGCATTGTGGGAGGCCAAGGTGGGCAGATCACTTGAGGTCAGGGGTTTGATACCAGCTTGGCCAACATGATGAAACCCCATCTCTACTAAAAATACAAAAATTAGCCAGGCTCAATGGTGGACAACTGTAATCCCAGCTACTCAGGAGGCTGAGGCAAGAGAATCTCTTGAACCTGGGAGGCAGAGTTTGCAATGAGCCAAGATCATGCCACTATACTCCAGTCTGGGTGACAGAGCAAGGCTTCATCTCAAAAAACAAATTACAGTACAGAAGATTAAAAAATGAGTTCCAGACCAGACCGGGTAACATAGTGAGATCCCATCTCTACCAAAAAACACAAAAATTCACTGGATGTAATGGTGTGTACCTGTAGTCCTAGCTTCTTAGGAGGCTGAGGTGGGAGGCGCACTCCTGCCTGAGTAACAGAGCAAGGCCCTGTATTTAAAAGAAAAAAAAAAGATACACCTGTATAGGGCACTGACCATAAACTGTGCTTGCACACTGAAAGCTGCTTCCAGGTGTGAGTGAGTGGTGAGTAATGTGAGGACCTAGGACATTACTGAACCCTACTGTAGACTTTACATACTTAGGTCACATTAAATTTATAAAAATATATTTTTCTTTCTTCAATAATAAATTAACCCTCGCTTATTGTAGCTTTTTTACTTTATGCACTTTAAAATTTTTTTTAACTTTTATTTTTTGGATGGGGTCGTGCTGTGTCGTGCAGGCTGAAGTACACAGCAGCATGACTATTGCTCACTGCAGCTTCGAACTCCTGGGTTCGAGCTATCCTGCCACTTTAGCCTCCCAAGTAGCTGGGGCTATAGGCATGCACCACTACACATAGAACATAGAAAAGGTATGGTAGGCCAGGTGCAGTGGCTCATGCCTGTAATCCCGGCACTTTGGGAGGCCAAGGCAGGCAGATCACGGGGTCAAGAGATCAAGACCATCCTGGCCAACCTACATGGTGAAACCCTGTGTCTACTAAAAATATAAAAATTAGCTGGGCATAGTGACACATGCCTGTAGTCCCAGCTACTCAGGAGACTGAGGCAGGAGAATCACTTGAACCCGGGAGGCAGAGGTTGCAGTGAGCTGAGATTGTGCCACTGTACTCCAGCCCAGGTGACAGAGCAAGACTCCATCTCAAAAAAATAAGTAAATAAATAAAAAAGGTAAATCTTCTAAAAACATTTTCACTCTTTTTGAATAACACTTAGCTTAAAACACACTGTACAGCTGAACAAAAATATTTTTCTTTGTATTCTTATGAACTTTTTTCTATTTTCAAAATTAAATTTTCTTTTTACATTTTACCTATTTTGTTAAAAACTAAAACACAAGCACACATACTAGCCTAGGCCTACACGGGGTCAGGATCATCAATATCACTGTCTTCTACTTCCATATCTTGTCCCAGTGGAAGTTCTTCAAGGACCATAACATGCAAGGAACTGTCATCTCCTATAATAAGGCCTTCTTTGGGAAGACCTCCTGAAGGACTCTCCTGAGGCTGTTTACAGTTACCTTTTTTCCTGTAAGTAGGGGTATAGTTTAAAATAATGATAAATAGTAAACACATAGCCAGTAACATGTTATTTTATCAAGTACTATGTACCATACATAATTCTATGTGTAATACTTTTATATGCAGCTTACTGTGCTGCTTGTTTACACCAGCATCACCACAAACATGTGAGTAATGCATTGTGCTAAGACGTTATCATGCCTTTGTCTTTAGGCGACAGGAATTTTTCAGTTCCATTATGATCTTATGGGACCACCATCATATATACAGTCTGTCATTGACCAAAGTCATTATACAGCGTATAACTGTACAACTGTCTTCATTTCACGTAATAGAATGTTTTACCATAAGTGGTTATGGCAATGTCCTCAAGTAATGAGCAGAGTATTTTTGGATGACAGAAGTTGAAATTTAAGATTATACTAGTTAAAACTAAATATTTTTGGTATATAGTAATCTATATGGATTTAGAATTATTTTATTTCCTTATTCAAGACAATGGGTCAAGCCATAAAACCTAACTGGCCACACAGGTCATCAGTTATTCTTTACTACCTTATTCCAAACCTGCCACATCTTCCCTGCTCAACTCCAACATGGTGCTAGAGAGAAATCCCATACTAAAGATAATGACAGTTGAAAAGAAGAAAAAAAGAATAAAAAAGTCAAATGATTCCATCAATCTTTCAATGACCATATATTCCTCGTTTGGAATTTAGTAAATGCTGTTTTAAAACCCAGGAAGGCTGGGCACGTAATCCCAACACTTTGGGAGGCTAAGGCTGTAGGATTGCTTGAGGCTAGGCGTTTGAGTCCAGCCTGGGAAACACAGTGAGACCTCATCTCTAGACAGAAATTTAGGAAAACCTAGCTGTGTGTAGTAGTGCCCACCTGTAGTATGAGCTACTCGGGAGGCTGAGCCCAGAAGTTCAAGGCTGCAGTTAGCCATGATTGCACCACTGTATTGCAGCCTGGGCAAGAGTGAGATCCTGTTTCTACAAAAACAAAACCATCAAGCCTGTAATCACAAATTACAGAAGATGTAAGATTCTGTTTGCCTTTTCTTGAGATGGAGTTTTGCTCTTGTTGCCCAGGTTGGAGTGCGATGGCACGATCTCGGCTCACTGCAACCTCCGCCTCCTGGGTTCAAGCGATTCTCCTGTCTCAGTCTCCTGAGTAGCTGAGATTACAGGTGCCTGCCGCCACACCTGGCTAATAGAGACGGGGTTTCATTGTATTGGTGAGGCTGGTCTAGAAATCCTGACCTTAGGTGATCCACCCGCCTCGGCTTTGCAAAGTACTGGGATTATAGGAGTAAGCTACCGCGCCCAGTCTGTTTGCCTTTTTAATGTCATCTAATTCATTTTATAAGTAGAGTATCAATGAAATAATTATCATGGTATAGTTTGGGAAAAGGTGAGTAAATCCCTAACACTGCTGGCCCAAGGTTTTATTTGGTAGGTCTAAACCTTGACCTTACAGCTATGAAATTTCAAGTTTGTGCTTGAATACATGACTAAAACAATGAAAATGAAAAGACCAATAGTATGTACCATTTTAGTTTTTATTAATAAAATAGAAACCTAAACTCAGACAACTGCTTTATTCTTGCATCTAATCTGACCATCTATTGGAGTAACAATTCTTTATAAAAGGACTTAGGTGAGAACTGTCAATATATCAGTTCCATCAAAAACTCTAGGTTGGAATATCTTAAAAAGAGTAAATTAAATATGAGAAAGCACAGAAATCTCTCCCTCAAACAAGAGGGGCTTCCTTTAATAGTCTTTAATATAGCTCATTTGCAATTGTATGAAAATCCATCACGATCAATCATGTTGCACAATCCCTAAAGGATAAAACTGAGGGAACTCATGGATAATTTTCACAGCTTCATTGTAAAGTCCAAGATCTGAAAGAAACATTTAAGCAAACATTTAATCTACAGTGGAAAGTTGTAACATCAATTATTATCTAAGATATTTTTACCTATTTCCTTTTTCTCATCCTTTTGGAAGTGAATTTCTAGAAATGGAAATACGGATTATGGATTCTTGTATTTAACTGTGACGTAAAAAAAAAAAAAAAAAAAAAAAAAAAAAGTCATGTGTCATTTAATGACAGGTATACATTCTGAGCAGTGGGCCAAGATCGAGCCACTGCACTCCAGCCTGGGCAACACAGCAAGACTCTGAAAAAAAAAAAAAAAAAAAAAAAACAAAAAAAAAAACATGGGAGTACCAGCCATTTTGATGTTCATTATACAGGCAGTTTCTGCCTGGCAGTGTTTGGGTGTTATGCATTATTCAGTTCCTTCAATTTATATATTACAACAAAAAAACTAATACTATTTTTGTTATATTAAAAAAATTACCTTTCGACAAATATTAATTAATCTTTACTGAGTTTCCTACATATATAAGCACTACTTAGAAGCAGGTCAAAACAAAATGTACCCCCATTTTCCTTTAGGATCACAAAATTCTATAGAAATTGAAAATATAGCAGTACTAATTCTCTAGACCAATATATATCAAATTAAAAATAAAAAGTTTTCCTGCTAATTACATAAAACCAGTCAATACTAGAATGCTTTATTTACCAAAAGGATGGTTATCTTCTTTAAACTGGACATAAGATGTACACAAGATGGTGGCCTTGGTGGTTACTTTTCCAACCACTTCCATAATTCCAGAGATTTCTTCATCAAGCTAAGGCACAGAACAAGAGGTCAATTTGGTGTTATCACATTTTCGGTTGACAATTAATTTGGAAAACTGTTATACAGGTTACTAATCTTTCACTTCAAGTAACAAAGTAATTTTAAAAATTACCAATGCAAAAGTTAAAATGTAACTTGTTAACAAATGTTTGAGTACTTAACTGTCAGCATGTTAACATTCCTGTTACATTTACTAGTAGCTTCAAGTACAAAGCTACAATTCAAGTTAAAGCCGAAATTGCTATTGAAAATGTCCAGCATTTCTATAAGCAGTAATTTCCTATGAGAGGAATCTTCTATAATCTGTATTTCACAATGTGTTCTGTACACATTAACCAAACAGCATATGGATTTGTCTTCACAAAATGCCAAAACAAGTTTTAAGTATTTTAAACATAAAATGCAAAAATAAATAAGTAAAAACTGAAATATATGAACAAAAATAGAAAACAAAATAAAATTTTAAACTTTGAGGGACAGGTCGAGGCAGGAGGATTGCCTGAGACCAAGAGTTCAAGACCAGCCTGAGCAACATAGGAAGACTCCATCTCTACGAAAAACAAAACAAAACAAAAATTAGCCAGGCATGGTTGAGCATGCCGGTAGTCTCAGCTACTGGAGAGGCTGAGGTGGGAGCAACTTGATCTCGGGAGGCTAAGGCTGCAGTGAGCTACGATGGTGGCACTGCATTCCACCCAGGGCAACAGAGTGAGACCCTGTCTCAAAACAAAAAACAAAAACAAAACAAAAAACCTCTTGAGGAAGAAAAAAACAATTTAAATTTTTCTTATGTGATTTTATGGTCTTTCATAAGGAATGAGAATTGTTATCCAGCATTTATGGGATATTTTCAAAAATCATGAAGCCCAAAAAATCATTGGTTAAAAATGTAAAAGGAAATATAATAAGAGAATAGTACAAGAATTTAATTTTTGAGCCAGGGACGTTTTACCAGCTCATCCTTTTTAAATTCATTCCAAAAAATTAGACACATTGGCAACAAACCAAATCCATATGAAGAATTAACTATAATATATATGAGACTTATTAATATTTAAACATACGGGTTCCATCAACTCGATGGTTCCATTTTTTCCTTCTCCATCTGAAAGAATAAACATTTTTCCAGTGGGATGAATCTAAAAACGAAACATAAGATTAAAATCTCACTGAAACAACAAAAAAGTTTGACAAACGATGAGTACATTGATCCTTAATGGAGCACAAATCAACTGTTTTTTGAACAGTTTATTCGTTCTATTCATTCAGTTTATTCAACTTATTAGTTCAAATTATAATCTTACGTTACCAAATGTCTTCATGGAACACAGTTAATTTTGAATCTCAGATAAACAAGGATTTTTTTTTGGTAGTGTATAAGTAGGTTCTGTATTTGCTAAATATGGCAACCCTATTCTAATAACAAATCAAAGGAAGCCCACCCTATCGAAAAGTGAAAGCTGCTGGCACTCATGATTTAGACAGCACATATCCCATGGAGGGTATGTTTTAAAAATCAGGCATGATGAAGTAAAAAGAGAACTGGTTGCTAGAATATCTGTGTCTACTCCTGGGAAGCAGCTGTAAAGAGCGCTGTCAGATCGCGTTTGAATGCCACTTTTGCCACTTGCTGAGTTTCTGAGCATTTTAGTCAACCACCTACCACTCATACTCAGTTTCCCTACTTGGGAAGTCAGAGCAACACTCATTTAACGAAAAGGATGTGTGGATGAAATGAGCTACTAAATAAGTCTTTATATAATAGTTTTCTTTTCCTCAGCTTTTCAGGTCACTGATTCCAAGACTTTGGGCCTGTTTCTCGCCTGTAGAATGAGGGAACTTCACTTTAATAGTGGGGTTAGATAACTCACTACTACGGGACCCAAAGCGGACAATCAAGGCACGTTTTACAGAGAAGCGATTACGAGGAAACGAGGTTTGCAAAAAGAAGTAATTTCAGAAGAGAAGGAAACCAGCAGATTAGTTTTGTCGGCGTCCGTGACGTCTGAGTAAACTAAGAAATCTGAAGGTAGATGTGGGAGTCGTGTTTATAATTTCCCCTACGTAAGCACGGCCAGAACGGAGGCGACGGGCACTGGAATTTAGAACGCAGAGCATCTGAAAACACCTTGTTTCCGTGTCATAAAAGAGGCACCAAAATGGGGCTACAACGGCTAAAGAATTTCCAAGAAGTCTCCTTTTGCAAAATAAAGGATTCGGGAGCGCAGTGATCTGAGGCTTTCCGTCCTTTTTCATCCGCCGTTATCCACTTAGAATCCGCCACCCAGGCGGTCATGGGGTCCCTCCCTCCAGCTACGGGCAGGGGAGCCCATGACTGCGAACCCGCATACCTTTTCCAGCCTCCCTACGAAGCAGACAGGCTTGTCGATGAACTGAGCTAGCATGCCGACGTTGATGCGCGACCTCGGTAACTCCATCATGTCCACCATGATTATGGTCCAAGACTGCAGCTGGCGGGAAACCCACGAACTACTAAAGCTGTGCGCCCCGCGGGTGTCTATGGGGCAGATTTTCCGGCACCAATCAGCGAAGACTAGCGCTCCAGCTTCGCCAATTAAATGCGCGGAAAACTAAATCGCAATCGCGCTGTCACTGAAAGGGGTGGAGAAGGGGCGGGATGCGTCCGGAAGTGGAGATTGGCTGCTTAGTGACGCACGGCGTCCTGGAAGTTGCCTGATACAGGGCGAGAGGCAGTGGAGGCGGGGCTTGGATAGGGGCGGAACTTGAGGCTACCCTTCTGCGATCACTGGATTCTCGGCGGTGACTTGACCCCGGAAGTGGGGTGTAGAGCTCCGGTGCCGGTGCGGCGGCGGACTGCGGCGCGAGCCTCAGGTACCTCTTCTCGCGGGAGGCGCCGCAGCCTTACTATTTCCCCATTCTTCCCGCGGACAGAGTCAAAAGAGCTAGGCGGGATTTCGGTACCAGCTGCTGCCGCGGTGCTGTGGGTGCTGCGTACCAGCTGTTACTGTTGCCTCGCCTTCCCTCTTGCCGGTTCTGCGTGGGAGGCGCGGGAGTTTTGCTGAATAATATGTGGTGTGGCGTCGGGGTTGTGATACCAGCCCCCTTGGAGATGGGGAGAGGGGTCATCAGTGATCTTGATCACTTTCTTCAGGCTTTTGCCACTTGTTGGCTGAGGGTCGATTTACTCCCTTCGCTGCGTCACTCTACTTTCTCCAGTTTCTCCACCTGTAAGAAGAGAGAGTGACTCGATTACTTCTAAGACGTTTTTTAGCCCAACTTGGCCACACTGCGGAGGTGCCGGTTCTCTCACCCCGCTACCTCCTCCGCGTTGGCAGCCAATAGAAGCAATTAAGGATGGGTAACGGAGAAGGACTACTGGCCACTACCAGAGGAGACAAGCTTAAATCGTTGTTAGACCCCGAGTTAGTGTTCCCCGAGTTAGGGTTCCCCCCTTCTGAGGCGTATTTTCCCCATCCGCAAAACGAAGGGTTAGGCGGAATGATTTGCAAGGTACCAGTTGACTTTAACTTTTGGCGGTATGTTTGACTCAACAGTTTAAACCCCCTCAGCAGTCTTTCTACTCTGGAGGGCGATCTGGAGGTCTGGAAGATAACCGATTCCTGGGAGATTGGGGGTAGTCTCCAGTCTGTCCCTGGCTCATCTTGAGACCCGAAGCCGGCGGCCTTGCCAGGAATATTCTAGAGTGAATACGCATAAAAATACCTTCAAACGGTACTGTGGAAATGGGACAGAAGTTTTAATTGGGTATTATAACTTTGTGGAAACTGAGTGTGAATTTGCCCAAAGCTACAGAATTGTCATCGTTCAAATTCCCTTAAGCAAAAAAGATCCGATTTGAGACTTGACGTGGCAATTTAAGATTGGAATCTCATGTACGATAATTAAATGATAGTCTCCCTTAGTATTTACTTAGCACTTAATAGGTTTGTCTTAGTTTTACTAACAGGAGTTTAAAGGATTTCATTAAACAGATGTAGAATGTGTGTCAGTGGTGTATAAAAAAGTTGTGGTTGTATTGGTACAAGTCAATAAAGTCCATTTTGTATTAAAGCTTTAAGTCTTTTGTACTTTAGCATTGTTTTTGCAAAGCAAGTTGATGTGCATTATATAGGGGAGAGTACACACATGAATGTCTTTAATAGCATTTTTTTTTTGAGGCAAGATCTTGCTCTGTCACCCAGACTGGAGTGCAGTGGCATGCTCATAGCTCACTGTAGCCTTTAACTCCTAGGCTTAAGCGATCCTCTCACCTCAGCCTGCAAGTAGCTGGGACTAAAAGCACATACCACCACACCCAGCTAATAAATAAATATATATATATATTTATTTTTGTACAGATGAGGCCTCGCCATGTTGACCAGGCTTATCTCAAACTCCTGGGCTCAAGCGATCCCTCCCTCCCCTCTCTCTCTCCCGAAGTATTGGAATTACAGGTGTGAGCCTTGGTAGGCACCCTGTAATAGCGATTTTTTTTTTTTTAAAGAGCAGTCCTGAGAGTACCAGATGTTAATGTCATTGTTTACTTGCAGTGAAAACGACCACTTTTAAGCAAAAGCTTTCTTTTAAAACAGGGAGATGAGCAAGAAGATAATTTTAAAAAGCTTTTTTGCATATTTTTGAGTCACTTAAAATATTATGAAATATATGATGTACAGAGAAAAGTATAGCTAGCCAATTTGCATAGTTTTGAGAGAAATGAAATGAATCCATGGGGCCTGTCATTCAGGTGAAGAAATGGAACTTTACCAGTTACCAGTAAATTTTACCAGTTTGCACTTCCCCAGTTAAGCCCTCCTTGCTACAGCCTTAAGTAAACACTATCTTGAAATTTGTGTTAAGCTTTCTAAACCTTTCTACATAGTTTTATTACACATGCAGGCATTTCTAAATGGCATGTTGTTTTACTATTGCCAATCTTTGACTTTATATAAATAGAAACGTATATATCTTCTGACTTGTTTCTTTTGTTTGTTTTTGAGATTCATCTATATTGACGAATGTATGTAGAGCATATTTTTATTTTGTTACAGGTAGGCATGAACGGGGCAGTAGTGGGCTGACCCCCAACCCACTAGAAATGTCGGGTGATGGTTTGGCAATTATCGAATTTGCTTCTCTAAAAATGACAATTCGGCAGCGCCAGGGAGAGGCCATTTCCTGATGGTCCATATCTGTTATCAAAATGTTAATTTAATGTAGACCCGAGGGAGAAACAGCTTCCTGGGCATGCATATTAAGAGACAAAGATGGTAAAGTATGAAAGTATGATCTTCCAGGTACACTCCACCGGAAAAAGGAAGAAAGCCTCAGATGGGCATGCGTGTAACTTCCTAAAAACACTTCCCAAGGCTAAGGAGGGCTCTGAGCCTGCGGGCAGCCTATCCTAAGGGAAGAATCACGGGAAAGAGACTTATAAAAGTCCTAGCATCAGGCCCGGTGCAGTGGCTCACAGCTGTAATCCCAGCACTTTGGGAGGCCGAGGCGGGTGGATCACCTCAGATCATAAGTTCAAGACCAGCCTGGTCAACATGGTGAAACCCTGTCTCTACTAAATACACAAAAAATTAGCCAGGCGTGGTGGTGGGCGCCTGTAGTCCCAGCTACTCTGGAGGCCGAGGCAGGAGAGTGGCGTGAACCTGGGAGGCGGAACTTGCAGTGAGCCGAGATCACGCCACTGCACTCCAGCCTGGGCCACAGAGCAAGCCTCCGTCTCAAAAAAAAAAAAAGAAAGTCAGACTGTTAAGTGGCATACTTGACCTTCTCTCTTTAACCTTCACATTCCTGCTTATGTTTCTAACAAGCACACCTTTTTTTCTTTCCTGTTTTAATGCCTTTTTAAGTAAACTTCCATTCCTGCTCTGGAACTTGCCAGAGTCTCTTTTTCTGCTTTATGCCCCTCAGTCAAATTTTTCTTCTGAGGAGGCAAGGACTGAAGTTGCTACTGACCCGTAAGGATAGGCTACCGGTAAGTTGGGGTAACTTGGATCTCTGCCACTAGAATTAAAAAAATGATTTCCCCAAATGGTGGTACCAGTTTACCCTCTTACCTGGAGTATAAGAGAGTTATAGTTATTGTATATTCTTGGCAACCCTTGAAGTTTTTTCCCCCAATTTGATGGATATGAAATTTTTTTTGTCATGACCCTAATTTGCATTCCCTGATTACTGATAAGGTTGAACATCTTTTCAGATTTTTATTGGCTATTTATGTTTGTCTTTTATTCCTTGATTTTTCTTTTTCTTACTGACTTTTAACAGCTTTGTGTGAGTGGGATATTGTAATGGTACAAGTGTTGTCCGTTTTTGACCTGTCTTTCCATTTCCTTCCTTCATTCTGTCCTTTTTTTTTTTTAAGTAGAAAGACCTCTTTTAATATAGTTAAACCTTTTCCGCCTTAAGTTTAATATAGGAGAAAAGTCCATTAAAATCTCACTTACAAATTCTTTCATACATACTCTTAAAGGTATTCTATTTTTCCTAAAATTTTTAGAGTTTTGCCTTTCATATTTAATAGTCTGTCATCTAGAATTCACTTTTCATGTATTTTGTCAGATAGGTTTCCAATCTCTTTGTTTTGTTTTAATTTCAGTTGTCCTAATGTGATTTGACTGTATCACCTTTTTGCCACTGACCTTCACTTGTCACCTTAAGTTTACAGATATGTGTGGAGTCAATTCTGTTCTATGGATCTATTTTTCTATCCGTGAACCGCAACCTATTTTCTTTAATAGTGTAGCCTTATCATAACTTTTGATGTCTGGGGCTGTGTTCCCAGGAATGTCTTGGTTATTTTTATCTCTTTGCTGTTCCATATAGAATGTAGCTTACGAATTTCCATGAAAAACTGTGTTGGAATTTGGATCAAAATTGCATTGAATCCTTGGATGTATTTCAGGAAAAGTAACAGCTGAATGTCAACTCTTACTATTCTTGAGCCATTTTGGTTCCTTAAAATCTTTCCCAAAAGTCTCATACTTTTCTACATAAAAATTTTGACTTTTAGCTTAGATTTATTCCTAGATACCTTTTTTTGTTGCTATTATGAATGGTATAATTTTTTAAATTAAAGATTTTAACTGATTGTTTTAGTATATAGAAATGCCATTTTAAGAATTTTCTATCAGTTTTTTTGGAATTTTCTATTCATATTTGAATAATTACAGTTTTGTTTCTTAAGCATTCTTACATATTTTATGTATTTTTCTTACCTTTTGCCTAGGATAGAGCCTTCAGTACCATTTTGAATAGAAAGTGTTTAAGTCAAGATGGAGTCTGGCTGCATAAACAAAAGTATCTTTAATACACAAATGCTTATTCTTACATGTGAAAGAAGTCCACAGCTGTGCAACTTAGTACTTATGTGGTATTGCCACTGAGACTCAGGGCCCCAGGTTCTTTCTGTCTTTCTGTACTTCTACGTTCAATATCTAGTTCCATATTTATGGTTACCTCATAGGCCAGGTAAGTGATGGAGATTCAGCTATCAAGTAAATCCACATTTCATGTGGCAGAGAAGTGGACAGGCAAGAGTATACCTCCATGAGATTCAGCTTCCTTTAAGGAGCATTTCACGAAGTCCTTCCCAACTTGAATTTCTGTTTATTAGGTTAAGGAATTTTCCTTCTATTCCTAGTTTGATAAGCGTTTTAATTGAATGGTTATGGGATTTGGTCAAATGCATTTTTTTTTGCCTTAATTGAGATGATTGAGATGAGTATGTATTTTTCAGTGTTTGAACCAAGCTCATATTCCTGGAAGTTTGATTATGATATATTGTCTTTTATTATATATTCCTGAATTTGATTTGCTGTTGTATTTGTTTAAGATTTTTTTAAATCCATGTTC